GATGTAAGGAGAGAGAGATGTAAGGAGAGAGAGAGAGAGATGTAAGGAGAGAGAGAGAGAGATGTAAGGAGAGAGAGAGGGGAGGGAGGCAGCCTACACAATATACACACAGAGGTACAGACAGTGAAGGTGATGTTGCTATAGACTAAATGAAAAATGGTACAGATATTTATAGTAGTGTTAATGGTAACAGTCGTAATGTTAATGATTATAATAACAATGATAACAATAAGACTAGCAACAATAGTCGTTGCAGCAGAGGGTGTCGAGCAGGAACACAGGGGCAGCAGGTGACCCGCAACCACAGATCCAGACTCCACAGCTCCAGAGCCAGAAACACCTGCAGGAAGTGATAGGAGGAGAGAGGAGAGGGACGAGAAAGCACAAGACTACCGGAAAGGGGAGAAGTTGTGTTAGTAACATGCAATAATGGGATGAGGTTGCATACAGAGGGAGAGAAAGTAGAGGAGAGAGGAGCTCAGTGCATCATGGGAAATCCCCCGGCAGTCTAGGCCTATAGCAGCATAACTAAGGGATGGTTCAGGACTACCTGAGCCAGCCCTAACTATAAGCTTTATCAAAGAGGAAAGTCTTAAGCCTACTCTTAAATGTGGAGATGGTGTCTGCCTCCTGAACCCAAACTGGAACCTGGTTCCACAGGAGAGGAGCTTGATAGCTGAACGCTCTGGCTCCTAGTCTACTTTTGGAGACTCTAGGAACCACAAGTAACCCTGCATTCTGGGAGCGCAGTGCTCTGGTGGGGTAGTAAGGTACTATGAGCTCTTCAAGATAAGATGGTGCCTGACCATTAAGAGCTTTGTAGGTAAGAAGAATGATTTTAAATTCTATTCTGGATTTTACTGGAAGCCAATGCAAAGAAGCTAAGACAGGAGAAATATGATCTCTTTTCCTGGTTCCTGTCAGAACACGTGCTGCAGCATTCTGGATCAGCTGAAGAGTCTTAATGGACTTTTTCGAGCAGCCTGATAATAAGGAATTGCAGTAATCCAGCCTAGAAGTAACAAATGCATGGACTAGTTTTTCTGCATCATTTTTAGACAGGATGTTCCTGATTTTCGCAATATTACGTAGGTGAAAAAAGGCGGTCCTTGAAATTTGCTTAATGTGAGACTTAAACGACATGTCGTGATCAAAGATAACTCCAAGATTCCTCACAGTGGTGCTGGAGGCCAGGGCGATGCCATCAAGGGAAACTATATCTTTAGATAATGCGTCACGGAGGTGCTTAGGCCCCAGAGCAATAACTTCAGTTTTATCTGAGTTTAACATGAGAAAATTACAGGTCATCCAGGTTTTAACATCCTGAAGGCACATTTGAAGTTTAGCTAACTGATGAGTTTCATCTGGCTTGATCGATAGATATAACTGAGTATCATCTGCATAACAATGCTTATGGAATGTTTCCTGATAATATTGCCTAAAGGAAGCATATATAAAGTGAAGAGGATTGGTCCGAGGACAGATCCTTGAGGAACTCCATGACTAACTTTGGCGTGCATGGAGGACTCATCGTTAACATGTACAAACTGAAATCGATCTGATAAATAGGACTTAAACCAGCTTAGAGCGGTTCCTTTAATGCCAATGAAATGTTCCAGTCTCTGCAATAGGATCTGATGGTCAATGGTATCAAATGCAGCACTAAGATCTAATAAAACCAGTACAGAGACAAGTCCTTTGTCTGATGCAATAAGGAGGTCGTTAGTAATTTTCACCAGTGCTGTCTCTGTGCTATGATGAGCTCTAAATCCTGACTGAAAATCCTCAAATAAACTATTGCTCTGTAGAAAGTCACACAGCTGTTTAGCAACTGCTTTCTCCAGAACCTTAGAGAGGAATGGAAGGTTAGATATAGGTCTATAGTTGGCTAAAACATCCGGATCAAATTTGGGCTTTTTCAGAAGAGGTTTAATTACAGCTACTTTAAAGTACTGAGGTGCATAGCCTGTTGATAAAGATAGATTGATCATATCTAGTATAGAGGTGCTGACTAAGGGTAGAACATCTTTAAGCAGCCTAGTCGGGATGGGGTCTAAGAGGCAGGTTGATGGTTTAGATGAAGAAATTATTGAAGTTAGTTGGTAAAGATTGAGGGAAGCAAAACAGTCTAAACATGTATCTGGTTCTACAGCTGTTTCTAAGGTTCCTGAGTTAAGAGATAAGTCGGTGCCAATTGAGGGCAGGTCTTGGTGAATTTTGTCTCTAATAGCTAGAATTTAACAAACTGTGTTGTAAAGTTAATCTATCAGTGGAAGAACAGACAGAACTAAACCACCTTCCCTTCCAACTTGACATTATATATATGGAGAAAGCCAGGGGGGCATTTATTCGTTCAAGGGCCCGTTGGATGGAAGAAGGGGAAAAAAAACTCCACCTATTTCTTCAGTTTGGAAAAACAAAGACAGCAATGCAAAATGTAAATGTAAAATGTCCAGGTATGGTACTGCGTATCAGGGCGTTCCGGCCCACTTCAAACACTTTTACATGTTTTTCTGTTAATAAAATGTTCCGGATCTTTCCAAAATACAGTTGTGTGTTCACAGTGGTAAATAAAGATGAAATCTAGCCTCTCTCTAATAAAATCACAGTAATAATCGATGTTTACTTGGAATCTTTGCAACACTTCTTTGGCGGGTAAATATGATGCAAAATCTTGAAGGTCACTTCTTTTACCTTATTATTAATACAGTATTTGTTAAGAATACTACATGCCTTTCCCCCCCTGTAAACCACTCTCTACAGAAGACCAAAAGAACAACAAACTAAGAACTACAGAGTACAAAACATTTCTTATAAGCACAGCAACAAATGACTGAATACATGAAACAGAGACAGACTGCTGTCATGTGGTGTCGGAGTAATCTGAGAACTTTTTTCCTGACTTGGGAAAATTCATGTGAACCCCTGAAGCCGGAACAACAACTCTGAAAGTAATTATGACATCACATCAACATTTTATATCAAGGATCTGTAATTTTATTCCATCTGTAGGAAACATGCACAGCAACATTTGCAACATGTCCCATAATCAGGACGTTGTCATTTCTTTCTTTCTATATAAATAAATAAAGTATGAAACATGGCTGCCATCCTTGTGAAAAAATCTGAGGTGAAATCATGAGTCTTGTTCATCAGCAATAAACCCAACAAATACTCACGTTACACATTTAGATGCACAGTTCCCACAATCGTGTTGAGAACAACGGCTCAAGCCAGTTGTTCAACACATGAACGCAGCAATAATCAGAATCCTACAATAGATTTTATTCTGCAGAATGAGTCCTTTTACTTGCAGCAGAGTATTTGTACACTGTGGTATTAGTACTCTTACTGCAGTAAAAGCTGTGAGTACTTCTTCCATCACTGCTCCCACAGGAGGAAACAACAAACGTTTCCTCAGAGTCAGTTTTCCTCCTCGAATGTGAAAACTTCACTAAATCATCAGAACTAAGAAATAACAGGAAGCTGAACCAGGAAGGAGAAACAAGCACACTGAGACGCTCACGTGCTGTTTGGATCGCCATAGCAACACACAGGAAGTGGGATCAGACACATCTAGCAGGAAGAAGAAGAAGAAGACGCTGACCGCTTTAATCTGATAGCGACGCCTCAGCCTGCTCTGGTTGCCATGGTAACACCATCCTGTAGTCAGTAATCAGTCAGCAGCTTCTTATCAAACTAAAGTTCATGATTTCCACAGAAATGCAGTTAAAAGAGGAAATCTACAGACCACAGAGTGTCGACATCGTCTCTGAAGGACAAAACTTTATTTACCAAAATAAAAAATGTAAACCCAGTTTAACACTGTGGTGTCCGAACAATAATGCTGCGATGATGTGTTGAGAAGAAATCCGCTTGACACTGTTCTTGATCATAAAAGTTTATTACATCAAGGAATTCAGCATCAATTACAAGCTCTGCAGCAGCTTGGAGAGAGACCCAGCCCGATAACCACTCTGTCTCTCTGTACATCAAACATAGTTTATATAGGGCATGTTTAGGTATCTGCTAAATACCATATAAGGGTCAGAGTCTGCAATCTAAAGCTCCAATCCATATAAGAGCAAAGTTCTATAGGATAAGTGTAGACATCTTGTTGGACACCAGATAAAGGTCTGAGCCTCCACGTGCTGCCATCAGAGAGGAACCTGGTGGAGCAGAGGTCAGGTGGTGTCAAACGTGGCAGCAGGTAAAAAGGATAGGAGCCAGGCTCAGACTCTCAGCTCACTGTAACATGATTTATTAAGTCAAAACAAGGTGAACACAAACTTCCAATGATGATGAGGCAGGCAGGCGAGAGGAAAACCAGGAGCGGAGTCCGAAACACAAACATGTTGAGAGGAAGAGGCCGGCAGGAATGAAGTCCGGATGAATCCAGATGCAATAATCCCCAGAAAACAGGCCCAGGGTCTCCAAACGGAGAGACAACCAAGAACTGGACCAACAACAGAGACCTGTACACACACACAAGGTGGCAGGGTGATTAAACACAGGTGAGACACATCAGGTAATCACAGGGAAGACACAGACAGGAAATAAAGACAGACAGCAGAGACATTTCAAAATAAAACAGGAAACAACATCAACATTTCCTTTAATCCACCTTTTACAGCAACATGTTGAAGTTTAACTGACATGAAGTCGTCAGTTTGACGTGAAGCATCATTTCAATAAATTTTGGTTCAAATCCTGCGACGGCATCAGATCCATGTAGAGCAGAAGGTGTCGTACAAAGCGGACAGAAAAGACGAGGCTGCTTGTTCTTCACAATCTGTACAAAGAGCTTTTAGGGACCTGAGTGATGAATCTGGGTTAAGTGAAGGACAGGAGTCAAAGATCACACCTGCACTGAGAGACAGTTTCCTGGAAACTGTCAGAGCCGGACTGGGAGAAGACTTCAGACTGGGACTCTAACGTCAGCTCAGGACAATCTCCACATTCATTCTTGGTCCTGCTGGAGTTAAACACTTCTGCTGTGCAGAAAAGAAACCAAACACACAGTCCAAAGGGAGAACTGGACTCAGACTGGACACCAGTGTGACCACTGTCTGATCCACTGGTCAAACTGGAAACATGGGCGACAGAAAACCCTGATCCTGTGTCAGAGACTCAGACGAGGACTCTTGACTGTGAAACTAAAGACAGCTGAATGAGCTGTGTTCCAGTAAAGCTCCACCTCTTCCTGTATGCAGATATACACTGAGGACAGCACATGATGATCAGAGCAGAGAGCAGGCGGACGGCCAGAGAGACGGTCTACCTGGACATGGATCACCTGTTGGTGCTGCTGCTGCTGTGGAGCTCAGGTAGGACTTTAAACAGCATGTGTTAGAATTCAGATCTCTTTATTGGATCTGGGAGAAAATCAATATGAAAGGTTGTTTCATCTGAAGAGCCACAGATTCAAAAGAACATTAAAGTTAATGGCAGCTCCCCTCCTTTCTGATGCTCGCTAGCTTCACTCATAGAGCTGAAGGTGGGTGGGGGGGGGGGGGTAGACTGGATAAGATCAGCTGGTGTCCTGGTCTAACCGAGGCTCAGCTAAAAACAGGAAGTTAAGTTTGAGCCTGAAGATAAAATCACTGATTAAAAAGATAAAACATGGAGTTGTGTGAGTGATGTGCCTTGTAGTGACAGATTGTATATCTAGGCAACCACATGCACTTTTAGTCACGAGCTCACAGATTCAAAATCAACATTTACTTCAACATAAGGAGAGATATTTACAGCACCATTTAATTTCTGCTATTTAGCTTCATGTATTTCACACACTTAATCTCTTTGTCTGCTTCTTCACATGAAACCTCCTAAACTTCACTTTATGATCCATAATATGCAACGATCTGCTGGCTCGTGAAATATGATCGACTCTTGACTCAAGACTCGTACCTGAACAAACCTGTTCTGACCAGATTATCATACATTCATTGTTCTGATAATATAGCTGACCTGTTAATTCAATTTCAATTCAATTCAGTTCAATTCAATTTTATTTATATAGCGCCAAATCACAACAACAGTTATCTCACAGCGCTTTTCATAAAAGAGCAGGTCTAGACCGAACTCTGTGATGATATTTACAGAAGCCCAACAGTTCCCACCAAGAGCAGCACTAGGCGACAGAGGCAAGGAAAAACTTCCTTTTAAGAGGCAGAAACCTCGAGCAGAACCATGGCTCAGGGTGGGCGGCCATCTGCCTCGACCGGTTGGGGTGAGAGAGAGAGAGAGAGAGAGAGAGAGAGAGAGAGAGAGATGTAAGGAGAGAGAGAGAGATGTAAGGAGAGAGAGATGTAAGGGGAGAGAGAGGGGAGGGAGGCAGCCTACACAATATACACACAGAGGTACACACAGTGAAGGTAATGTTGCTATAGACTAAATGAAAAATGGTACAGATATTTATAATAGTGTTAATGGTAACCATCGTAATGTTAATGATTATAATAACAATAATAACAATAAGACTAGCAAAAATAGTCGTTGCAGCAGAGGGTGTCGAGCAGGAACACGGGGGCAGCAGGTGACCCGCAACCACAGCTCCAGACTCCACAGCTCCAGAGCCAGAAAACCTGCAGGAAGTGATAGGAGGAGAGAGGAGAGGGACGAGAAAGCACAAGACTACCAGAAAGGGGAGAAGTTGTGTTAGTAACATGCAATAATGGGATAAGGTTGCATACAGAGGGAGAGAAAGTAGAGGAGAGAGGAGCTCAGTGCATCATGGGAAATCCCCCGGCAGTCTAGGCCTATAGCAGCATAACTAAGGGATGGTTCAGGACTCACCTGAGCCAGCCCTAACTATAAGCTTTAGTTACACTACAACAACCTCCTGGCTAACTGAAATAGTTTTAAACGCACCGACACACATACTGGTTTTAACATATTTTGCATAAGTCACACATTTTACTTGACCGTGCTAAATGGGGACTTAATATTCTAATCTACTACTCAATCAGCTGACACCATAATATCACAACTACTTCATAAACAAACGCAACAAATTAACTCAAAGCAAACTCCCTACAATGAAACTCCTGTTGCTTGAGTTTTAAAAGGGGAATCCACGTATATAATCAGGGCTGGACATTCAATTTCTTCAATGTTTGATTTTACTTTTCTCTGTGGCGCTAGATAGCACTTGACAATATGAATATAAATGAATATAGGCGTATAGATGTGTTCGGGGTGGGAGAGTTATCAAGCACATACAGTTTGGTGCAGATGTGAGCATGTACAATGAAGTTACAACAACTTCCTGTGTCATGGCGAAGAGTTGATCTTTGACGCCACACCACGGACACGCCCATTGACGAAAACTCACTGATACAACAACTTTTCATCTTCAATGTCTTTAGAATACAAGGGACTAAAAATGACATATCTATAAATGAATAAATAAATAAAAGCATAAATAAATAATTAAATGCAGAATGAAAATATTTTTTATTTTATTTTGGTCATTAAAACATTTGCATTTCTAAATGCATTTATTTCTGTATTTCTACATATATTTATTGATTTATTTCTACATTTATTTATATATTTATTTCTACATTTATTTATATATTTATTGATTTATTTCTACATTTATTTATATATTTATTGATTTATTTCCACATTTATCTATTTCTGTGCGCGTATGCTAATTGAGTGGGTGGTGCCGACATCAGTCTGAAGCAGGATTGGATATAGAGATGTGATCAGATCTACTACTGCTGTCTTGACTTCACTGGAGAGTGGGCTGAAGCCAATTCTGTTGCCACTAGGGCCGCTAAAGAAAGTGGTCGGGGCAACACGGTCACTGGTCCAAATGCATTATCACAGTAATTCATTATTGCATATATCACCAGTATACTTTTTATTTAATGGTATAACATTACATTAACACTAATTTATAATAGTTACTCATTCAGGTTGTGCCTCTGCAGTGTAGCGTCAGGATGCCACTGTGCTAATGTTCTCCTTCAAGCTTCAAGCCACCAATAGACACACTGGCAACTACTCTTTCAATTCAAGCCCTGGACGTAACAGTTGAAACTTCCTGTTTTCAAGCTGGTCAGCCACATCCCACAGCAGGTCTGCCAGCTGCCTCCCTCTCAAGGCCATTGTGTGAATTTACTGTCTATTATACTACAAGTAAAGTCAACAGTAAGTCTAAACATTCAGAGTGTAAAGTTAACATTTAACACGACACCAGACTAAGAAATGCAAATGAAGTTCTACATTATAAAAGATATAACATCCACTGTTATTCATAATTTACTCTTATTAATTCACTCTTCATGAGTGTTAAACCTTTTCATTGACTCCCGCAAATGCTAAAATTCACTAATATTTACTCACCGTAAGTGTTATTCTTGCCAAACACCTTGTTGAAATAAAATCTAGTTTTTTACAATTTTTATTTTAGCATGTCCAGCTTACACTTAAAACAAGTAAAACTTTTAATATGTTGCAGCCGGTGTTCTGCCAGCGGACCACAGACGAGGTAACAGTTATAGTGACTTTAGCATTTAACTGAAGTCATGACTGACGGTTGAATTGAAGCCAAAGTAAGCTGCAGACCTCAGCTGAAAATGTGACCACGTGTGTTTGTTGTTCTCCTTTTTGGGCAGCTAGTTTTAACCACACAGTCATGAGTTGAGTCGGGAAACTGCAGCTTTTAACTCCCCTGCAGTTCTCTCTGTAGTTCAGACGTTTCCTGCTACCTGAGTGTGCTGATCCATCCTTTCACCCAGATTCTTTGTCTTTATAATCGCCATCTTTATAATAACAAACAGCTGTTTGCACAATCAGTCACATAGTGTGAACGCCACAACAACGCCGCCACCAAGCAAAGTACTTGTTAAACGACGCATCGCTAAATCGTTGAAATAATCTATCGAAGTTTGAATACTCAAATCATTGTTAGCTGCAGCCCTACTGCGCTGATTTAAAACTTTCTGTACCTACGAGTCATTTCAACACCAAAATAAGTGAAAATGGGGCCCACGTTTCAAAATACTGAGATCATCCTTTAACCATCTGTTGCTGTGAGGAGTGAGTCAGAGCTTTCTTCGCCTTGATGATATCAGGAGAGAGAGGGAGGAGAGAAGAAATAAACACCATTTGCTGGTTTTTCACAACTAAAGTATAATCCACATTAGTTCCCATCTCATCATAAACTCTGATGCCTCTGCTGGGATGGAAATGTGATTTTTTACTGTGTTTACTGTTTCACCCTGCACGCTTCATCAGAATAGACCAGTGTTTCACTGTGTGGTGTTTGATTATTTTATTATGTTACAGCTAGGTGAAGTTTTCCATGGGAAAGATGCTCGTTAGAGAGTTTTCTTATCAGACTGTCCTTGATGGAACTTCATCTCAGGACAGCTGGTCCCTACTCCCTTCCTCCCTAACATAGCTGCGTAATACCCTCAGCTGTTTTAACATCAGCATAGTCTTCATCCTTGGATGGATCTGGGACTGGAGCATATCGGAGGAGGAGGAGTGGAGTCCAGGACTGGATCAGCCGGAATGGATTCCATGACTTGTGTACCTCAGTTAAAGAAGAGATAATGTGTTAGTTTGTTCTTATGGTGTCTTTTTAACAGTTTCCTTTTATCCTTATTTTATCTAGTCAAATGTTCTGTTTTAAGTCTTTACACTTTCCCTTAATTCTAATTTATATAGCAATCTGCCTTAAATGGCTTGTCCTCTGGACAAGGCTGCATGCTCTTCTGCATTTCTCCTTTCCTTTCTCTTCAAACATGTCTTTAGCTGCTCCAAATATATATATTTTTGAACTAAAACTCACATTTAACACATTTCAACCCACTTATCAAATTGTCCCATAGATGTTTTATCTTTTTCAGTCATAAATTTTACAACTGGCAGAAGGATTTAGGAGCTGTTTTCCACTCAGTTTACCAGTTTTTACTCCAACACATAACCTCATCTCTAATGTATGTCTCTCTATGTTTCACACTTTCCTTCACCCTCATTGTGAGGCATTTATTTGGCATACTTCCTTTGCCTTCTCTTACTTTCTGATCCTGCCTTCCACATGGATGACGCTTTCAAATGCTTATGTTTAAAATGACACTTTCTTCTTTGTCTTTTTACCCTTAAAAAAAACACTTTTCTACCTGTTGTAATTGCCTCAAACTGAATAGGAAACAGAATTTATTCACCAATAATTCTATGTTTTTGTGATTCTTCAGCAAATAGTCTGCAGAGTGTAAGACAAAGAGCTGAACAGGTGACTTAGTGGTAAAAACATGATATTGCCATATAACTCATAATTAGTGTGGGAATTATTATATTAGAACTTCATATTTAAATTTCACTGAATAAACTATTAAATATATCACCTTGTCAAAGAAATTGGGGTCTGTAACAAAACAAACATGACTTCTTAATTCTCGAGAACAAGATTTGTAGGCCAGAGCATCTCATGATGCGTTTCGGTGCCATCACTAATAATATTAGTTTTCTTATTCATCACGTTTCATCAAGTTAGATCAGTTTTAAATGACACTCTTGGGACATGAGGTCTGCATTAAAGCACAAGCTAGACTGGATAATGTTACCTGTATTTAATGTTATGCTCTGAAAACTTGGAACCTAAAATCATTAAGTTACGTTAAGGTCCTGCTGCTGGAGCATCAGTTGTTATGTTGCATTAAATTATTTTTTAAATTGAAATATAGTTTATAAGGTTGGATTAAGTTAAGGCTTTTTACTTTCGCTCGTCCATTTAATGGCACATTGGAGCTAACATTAGCCATCAACTCTGTCAACTCTGCCCTGTCAGCCCTTCGGAATTCTGTGTTTTAAGACAGCCAGCTGCAGTGTAGGTGGACATGCTGCTTCTGTTGAAATGCAAAACAATGATTTAATAAATTTAGAGACACTTACCACAGACTTCCAACGAGGAAAATGGCACAGTAAAAAATCCGGTTGGTTCAAGGTTGAAATCCCAGAGAAGGAGTTGTAATTCTTTCACCAAGTCTTTTAACTACGAAAAACTACACCAACAGTGGAAGAATCTCACTCTAGCTGTTGTTGTAATAACCACGGAAGAATCCATATACATGGACCCTGAATATGTCTGACTAAAGGAATCTACTGTGTAGCTGGCTTGTGTCATGTAGATGAATCGCTTGCTTCTGTCTGGTTTGCAATGCGGCCCCCAGCTAACCACTCCTGCTTCAGACTGATGTTGGCACCACCCACTCCATTAGCATACAGGCGCAGGGAAAAATAAATGTTGAAATGTGGAAATACAGGCATACATAAATGTATAAATATATAAATAAATAAATATATAAATAAATATATAAATGTCGAAATACAGAAATAATTGCATCTAGAAATGCATAAATAAATACAGAAATAAATACACAAATAGCATTTTTTATTACAAAAATATATTTAATTTATTTCTGCATTTATTTATTCATTTATAGATATGTCATTTTTAGTCCCTCATGCTGCACACTGTCCCTGTCTCTGTTCCACCACTGAAAGGTGAATTTGGAGCATGTTGTTCCAACATTTGGTTCTTTTTAATTCTTATTTTTCTGGCACCGCACATTTCTCTGTCCTCTTTCTTTCTTTCCGCCATATTTACCATCTCTGTTGTCACACAAACCTGATGGAAAGTAAACTGCTATGATCGGCGCCGTTTAACCAATCAGATTTAAGTAAAAACGAGGATCAGTGTAAGGTGGGAGGGGCCGCTCGAACCCCCCTCACTACTGAAAGTATTAGTTTGTCCCGGCCTGACAGCCGTACAGACAGCGTTCAGCTGAGTCTTCCTGAACTTCCAGTCCGCCCCTGTACAGAAGCCACTGTTTAGGAACAAGATAGCTTGATGGCAGGTCTCCCTCCAGTACAAAGATGTGATGACTTTGTTTAGACACTGATGGTCCCGAGAGGATGGATGCTACTGACTTTGGTTGCTTTATGCAGGCATCAGGTCATAAAACTAATTCCCTTGGATCTGTGTTTAGTTCTTGCTGCACCGTCCTGCAGCTCCCTGCTGTGCTCTTTATACTACCATACGTCTTCACATCAACACAGATATCTCTTAGTACTTTGAAGAAGTAAATGTTCTACAATTAAAAAGCATATTGTAAGGATAAATGTTCAAGTTGTGATCTTTTTAGGAAAAGAAATCTGGTTTGCAGTGCTGAACTGAAATTGGATTGTAGTTTTAAAAAACGTGAACAAATGTGTTTTTGTATAAAGTAAATTAAGCAGAACTAATTGAAACTCAGTATCCTGTAAATGTAAAATCTACAGCAATCTTTGGAGGGGTTTGTTTTTTTACCCGCTGACTGGATGACCAATAATGGAAAAGCATTTCCACCACCTGCTTCTGTTTCCGATTTCTGGACAGTTTGAGTTTTGCCTTTGTGAACACAAACTGGACCAGCTGGAGAACTGAGCATCTTCACATTGGTTGGATTCAGGACCCGGACCTTTAGGTGTGAACCCTTAATCAAACAGTAGCATCATATATCATCATGTTGTTTCTTCAGCTGGGAGTCAGGTGACAGGACCTGATTCTTGTTGCTGTGGAAACATTTCCATCTGTGGAATTTAATCTGAAAGTGTGCAGAGACTCAGTTTGTGATGTTGCACTATGAATAAAGTGAAGCTGAGCGAGTATACTTCACTGAATGCTGAACTTTAACTCTATATAAACCAGTCTGCTGGCTGCTGTTCTGTGTATTCACATGTTCATCTCACCTACAGTAAACTGGTAAAATGACTCCAGAGGGAGTTCACTGAGATGTTTCTGGGCTGATAGTGTTTTTTCTGTCCACGGCTGTGCTCCAATCACAGGACTCCAGGCTGAAGGAAATCACACCTCAACAGGTAAAGAGAGAAAGAAAAGAGAAGGAAAGAATCACAGAAGCAGAATCAGCAGTCAAGTTTTAGTTTAATCTCTTGAATTCACTTCTTTACTGATGACTCTCTGATTTCTGTTCAGAGCCTGATGATGTCAGGTTGGTGGGAGGAGCCAGTCGCTGTGCAGGAACACTGGAGCTGAAACATCAGGGAGACTGGAGACCAGTGAGTTACTCTGACTGGACCCTGAAGACAGCAGCTGTTGTCTGTAGAGAGCTGGACTGTGGCTCTGCTGTTTATGTAGGAGAGAGAGAGGAGTCCTCAGTCATACCTGTGTGGTGGATCAGGTCTGACTGTATTCAGTCTGGATCTGCTCTGAGGGAGTGTGCATCATTATATACCTCTTCTTCCATCCTGGATCTCACCTGCTCAGGTAAGCCCATCAGTGACATCATCTATGACATCATCTCTGACAGTAATGTACCCAGGTTGACTCACACTCAGCAGCTAGAATGGCAGCAGACTGTCTCTGGCAGCCATGACGGAGTCTGATGAGCTGCTGCCTCAGTAAATCAGGAGCTGAATTCACCAAGATATATATATGTATATATGAAACATGTCTGCTGCTTCAGGAGGCCCCGGGGCCAACCACCAACCAGCCTGAAAGGACTCCTCCTTCAGCTTGACGGCTTTCTTAGCCACTGGTTTCCACCAGCAGGGTCTTTGGTTGCTCAGTGCCCAACTAACACCAACATCCTAAAGTTGGCAGTAGTTGGTTTCAAATTCAATTAAATTTGCCATATCACAACAAGAGTTATGTCTTTTCATAAAAGAGCAGGTCTAGACCATACTCTCTGATGATATTTACAGAAACCCAACAGTTCCCACCAAGAGCAGCACTAGGAGACAGAGGCAAGGAAAAACTTCCTTTAAGAGGAAGAAACCTCGAGCAGAACCATGTCTCAGGGTGGGCGGCCATCTGCCTCGACCGGTTGGGGTGAAGGAGAGAGAGGGAGAGAGAGAGAGAGAGAGAGAGAGAGAGAGAGAGAGAGGAACAGAGAGAAAGAGAGAGAGGGGAGGGAGGCAGCCTACACAATATCCACACACAGAGATACAGACAGTGAAGGTGATGTTGCTATAGACTGAATGAATTATGGTACAGATATTGGATCTCATCATCTCTCTTGGACATTCAGTCTCAGTCACTGAAATATCAGAATCTGGTATCTCAGATCACTTCCCCATTAGATTTGAGATCAGTGTTCCCCCACCTCCTAGTAAACCTGTGTCTTCAGTCTCTAGGCGTCGCTGTATCACCCCCTCTTCAGCTGGAGAGTTTGCTTTGATATTCTTGGGCTCTCAGTTTTATAATGGTCTGGTTTCTCCATATTCCCCAGTCTGTTAAATTTAAAGCGGATCCCTGGTTAAACAACAACACAAGGGCCCTTAGGCAACGCTGCAGACAAGCTGAATGGAGGTGGAAGAAGGACAAGTTACAAGTTTCTCTGGGTTTATTAAGGGACAGTCTTGTAGAGTATCAGAAGGCTGTAAAGGTGACGAAGATGAACTATCTCTCATCTTTCATAGCTAACAGCTGCCATGAACCTAGGGTGTTATTTAAAACTATAAACTCTGTTGTGAATGCACCTCTGCTTTGACAGAGGTTTCAACCAGTATGTGTGAAAAGTTTCTCTGTTATTTTATTGATAACGTAGCATCAGTCAGGCAAAACGCCAGGGTCGATTTTAGTGTGTTTGTACCTGCTGCTCCTGTGCATTCTGCTGTGTTTGAGGAATTTAAGTCTATTTATCTGTCGCTGCTCACTGAGGTCGTACACCACATGAAACTACCAACTGTGCTTTAGACCCCTCTTTAGAGAGGGAGAGAGAGGGCTGGAGAGGAACAGAGAGAAAAAGAGAGGGATGGAAGGAGAGAGAGGGGAGGGAGGCAGCCTACACAATATACACAGAGGTACAGATAGTGAAGGTGATGTTGCTATAGACTAAATGAAAAATGGTCCAGATATTTATGGTAGTGTTAATAATAACAATCGTAATGTTAATGATTATAATAACAATAATAACAATAGGACTAGTAACAATAGTCGTTGCAGCAGAGGGTGTCGAGCAGGAACACGGGGGCAGCAGGTGACCCGCAACCACAGATCCAGACTCCACAGCTCCAGAGCCAGAAAACCTGCAGGAAGTGATAGGAGGAGAGAGGAGAGGGACGAGAAAGCACAAGACTACCAGAAAGGGGAGAAGTTGTGTTAGTAACATGCAATAATGGGATGAGGTTGCATACAGAGGGAGAGAAAGTAGAGGAGAGAGGAGCTCAGTGCATCATGGGAAATCCCCCGGCAGTCTAGGCCTATAGCAGCATAACTAAGGGATGGTTCAGGACTCACCTGAGCCAGCCCTAACTATAAGCTTTATCAAAGAGGAAAGTCTTAAGCCTACTCTTAAATGTGGAGATGGTGTCTGCCTCCTGAACCCAAACTGGAACCTGGTTCCACAGGAGAGGAGCTTGATAGCTGAACACTCTGGCTCCTAGTCTACTTTTGGAGACTCTAGGAACCACAAGTAACCCTGCATTCTGGGAGCGCAGTGCTCTGGTGGGGTAGTAAGGTACTATGAGCTCTTTAAGATAAGATGGTGCCTGACCATTAAGAGCTTTGTAGGTAAGAAGAATGATTTTAAATTCTATTCTGGATTTTACTGGAAGCCAATGCAAAGTAGCTAAAACAGGAGAAATGTGATCTCTTTTCCTGGTTCCTGTCAGAACATGTGCTGCAGCATTCTGGATCAGCTGAAGAGTCTTAATGGACTTTTTCGAGCAGCCTGATAATAAGGAATTGCAGTAATCCAGCCTAGAAGTAACAAATGCATGGACTAGTTTTTCTGCATAATTTTTAGACAGGATGTTCCTGATTTTCGCAATATTACGTAGGTGAAAAAAGGCGGTCCTTGAAATTTGCTAAAACGACATGTCGTGATCAAAGATAACTCCAAGATTCCTCACAGTGGTGCTGGAGGCCAGGGCGATGCCATCAAGGGAAACTATATCTTTAGATAATGCCTCACGGAGGTGCTTAGGCCCCAGAACAATAACTTCAGTTTAACATTAGAAAGTTACGGGTCATCCAGGTTTTAACATCCTGAAAGCACATTTGAAGTTTAGCTAACTGATTAGTTTCATCTGATTTGATTGATAGATATAACTGAGTATCATCTGCATAACAATGAAAGCTTATGGAATATTTCCTGATAATATTGCCTAAAGGAAGCATATATAAAGTGAAGAGGATTGGTCCGAGGACAGATCCTTGAGGAACTCCATGACTAACTTTGGCGTGCATGGAGGACTCATCGTTAACATGTACAAACTGAAATCGATCTGATAAATAGGACTTAAACCAGCTTAGAGCGGTTCCTTTAATGCCAATGAAATATTCCAGTCTCTGCAATAGGATCTGATGGTCAATGGTATCAAATGCAGCACTAAGATCTAATAAAACCAGTACAGAGACAAGTCCTTTGTCTGATGCAATAAGGAGGTCGTTAGTAATTTTCACCAGTGCTGTCTCTGTGCTATGATGAGCTCTAAATCCTGACTGAAAATCCTCAAATAAACTATTGCTCTGTAGAAAGTCACACAGCTGTTTAGCAACTGCTTTCTCCAGAACCTTAGAGAGAAATGGAAGGTTAGATATAGGTCTATAGTTGGCTAAAACATCCGGATCAAGTTTGGGCTTTTTCAGAAGAGGTTTAATTACAGCTACTTTAAAGTACTGTGGTACATAGCCTGTTGATAGAGATAGATTGATCATATCTAGTATAGAGGTGCTGACTAAGGGTAAAACATCTTTAAGCAGCCTAGTCGGGATGGGGTCTAAGAGGCAGGTTGATGGTTTAGATGAAGAAATTATTGAAGTTAGTTGGTAAAGATTGAGGGAAGCAAAACAGTCTAAACATGTATCTGGTTCTACAGCTGTTTCTAAGGTTCCTGAGTTAAGAGATAAGTTGGTGCCAGTTGAGGGCAGGTCTTGGTGAATTTTGTTTCTAATAGTTAGAATTTTATCATTAAAGAAGCTCATGAAATCGTAACTACTGAGAGCTATGGGAATACTTGGCTCAATAGAGCTGTGACTCTCTGTCAGCCTGGCTACAGTGCTGAAAAGAAACCTGGGGTTGTTCCTATTTTCCTCTATTAATGACGAGTAGTACGCTGCTCTGGCATTACGGAGGGCCTTCCTATAAGTTTTAAGACTATCTTGCAAAATAAAACGAGAATTTTCCAGTTTGGTGGAACGCCAATTCCTCTCAAGTTTCCGCAATATTTGCTATAATTTGCGAGTTTCAGTATTATACCATGGAGCTAACCGTCTTTGTTTTAGTATTTTCTTTTTTAGAGAGGCTACAGAGTCAAGTGTCATTCGCAGCGAGCCTGCAGCACTATCAACAAGATGATCGATTTGGGAGGGACTGAAATTAGCATAGGAGTCCTCCGTTACTTTGTGACTTGATAATGAATTTAGAGCTGATGGAATCGCATCCTTAAATTTAGCTACAGCACTATCAGACAGACATCTTGTATAGAAATTTTTGCCCAATGGACTCAAAAGTTATCAAACAGTGGTCGGATAAAGAGGGATTCTGTGGGAACACGATTAAATGTTCAATTTCAATACCATACACCAAAACAATGTCGAGGGTGTGGTTAAAACAGTGAGTCGGTTCATGAACACTCTGAGAGAAGCCAATGGAATCTAACAGAGAGATAAACGCAGTCCTGAAGCTGTCATTCTCAACATCCACATGAATATTAAAATCCCCTACAATAATAACTTTGTCCGTTTTAAGGACTAAAGTTGACAAAAACTCAGCAAATTCAGTAAGAATTCAGAATACGGGCCAGGTGCTCGGTACACTATAACAAAGAGAATTGGTTGCAGTGATTTCCAACTTGGGTGTGAAAGACTAAGAGCAAGGTTTTCAAATGAGTTATAATTTAGTTTAAGTTTAGAGCTGATTAGTAGGCTAGCGTCAAAGATAGCTGCAACTCCACCTCCTCGGCCTGTGCCTCAAGGAATGTGAGTATTAATATGACTGGGAGGGGGTGGATTCATTTAGGCTAACATATTCTCCATCACCCAGCCAGGTTTCAGTAAGACCAAATAAATCAATATCATAATCTGATATTAGTTCATTTACTAGTACACCTTTAGAAGAGAGAGATCTGATGTTTAAGAGTCCACATTTATAATTTTCCTATTCGTTTGCACTATTGCTCTAGTGGTTTTAATTTTTATGAAGTTTTTATGCCCTCTTCTGTTTACCTTTGATTTAAATAATTTCGATGGTCGGGGGGCAGACACCGTCACTATAGGATTTTCACTAAGTAACTCCTGAAATGGAGGAGCAGAGAAGTGTGTTAGACTGCGACTCTGCGTAGGGTTTTGGGTGGGCAACTGCTGAAAAAGAAGGGCAGAGAAGTGTGTTAAACTGCGACTCTGCCTCCTGGTCTCAACTCTGGGTTGTCATGGATTTGGTCCACTAATAAACTTGGCCAGATTTCTAGAAATGAGAGCTGCTCCTTCCCAAGTGGGATGGATGCCGTCTCTCCGGATCAGACCAGGTCTTCCCCAGAAAGTCTGCCAATGATCTACAAAGCCCACATCGTTTGCTGGACACCACCTCGACAACCAGCGGCGGAATGACGACATGCGGCTATACATGTCATCACTGGTCAGATTTGGCAGGGGTCCAGAGAAAACTACGGTGTCCGACATTGTTTTTGCATATGTACACACCGACTCAACGTTAATCTTAGTGACCTCCGATTGGCGTAACCGGGAGTCATTACCGCCGACGTGAATAACAATCTTACTGTATTTACGTTTATCCTTAGCCAGCAGTTTCAAATAAGACTCAATGTCGCCCGCTCTGGCCCCAGGGATGCACTTAACTATGGCCGCTGGCTTCGCTAACTTCACGATTCTCAAAATGGAGCTGCCAATGATCAGAGTTGGTTTCTCAGCGGGTGTGTCGCTGAGTGGGGAAAATCTGTTAGAAACGTGAACAGGTTGATGGTGCCCCGTGGACTTTGAATGCTTACGACTATTCCTCCTTCGGACAGTCACCCAGCCCCCCTTTCCTGGCTGCACAGGGGATGCCGGAGGACGGCTACCAGAGGCTAACTCAGGCCGATCCGCACCGACTACCGGGGACTGGCTAGCTACAGTAGCTAAAGACTGATCTACCAAGGTGCGGAGCCGGACTTCTAAATCACTGAGCCTCGCCTCCATGTCTATAAATAAACTACACTTATTACACGTACTATAATCGCTAATCCCAAAACTTTTGAACAACTATGAGATTGAACAGCAGTCACTAAAAGATGGAAAGAACTGTGAGTGCTTAGGCAAAATTACTGTAAGAATAAGTGTTTAGCCGTAGTGGCTTTATTTGTTTTTTTTTCGTTATGTTTCTTTATCTGCTCTGTAAAGCGACTTTGAGTTCGTGAAAAGCGCTATTATGACGTTATTTTTTTGTCAAATGTTATGAGCTTGTAAGACATGCTCACAAGCACATTATGTTATTTCACACACGCAAAAATTTACCTTCAGCTGGCATGATAAAATTACTCACGCACAAATTCAACAACCGAGAGTTGTACAGGTAGCTGCAAGCGAGCGCCTGGCATACTCTCATAGGTTAACTCTGCTTGTACAGTGGAACCTGCTCACGCGCAGCGGGCTTCTGCTCGCGGAGCGCTGTTTTGCTCGCGCAGTGGATTTCTGCTTGCTCGAGTCTACATGACTTTTGACAATTTGGGGGCGGGAACCAAGGAGGGCACTGACCCTCTTATGATTGGTCACTTTCATCGTGATCACAACCACAGGGACATCCTTATACCTTGATTGACAGCTCCCATTACAGGAAGCACAGAGTTGGGTTAACTTACCACCGAAGAAGACTGGGGTAAGTGAATGAATTAGAATGAGTTTTCTAATATACATAAAATGTCTCTGACCACGTATAAAATGGTGTGCAGGTCATAGTTAAATCAATTGTCATCGATGTATATTGCGAACGATGAAGCCTACGTTTTGTTAAGTAAGTTAACATTAACGTTAAATACTTTTAAGCAACAAGTAACGTAACTAGCTAGCCTATCCATTTTGTAGCTAGCGCCTTAGCCAACACTTGTGATGCTGGTCACCTGAGACTCATTTTAAAACTTTTAACCTTTAAAAACTGCATCTTAGACAACTAACGTTAGGCTAACTAAATCATAGCATAATTGTTTTCACATGTCAAAGTGCTATTCTTATTGACGCTGGTTTACTGCATTGGATTTTGCAGGCTAACATCCAATGCAGTAAAATACTGTTTTGAATGTTGGGTAACTTAGCCACATGGTCACATTGTCCCTTATTGAATTTTTGTGTGGATCCAGCCCATCTTCCCGCTTATAGATGTAAGAAAAAATGGCGGACGCAAAAGAGGAGGTGAACTATTTTCTAAAATGTTTATTACGTTAAAGTAGTTGAGATTTGTGGTGGTGTTTGTTTCAGTTACATTTCTTTCTTTCTCCCCATTCCTCTAGGACGATTTGCGCAATATGGCCCTCAATTTGGTGGCCAGGCTGAGAGCTACATTGAATAATTCAACACCAAACAGCTTTCCTTATTTACATATAACAATATATAAATACTGTTTTTGGAACAACTTATTGCTTTCGTCATGGAAGTGCTGCTGTCATTATCATACAGCTCACCTATTCATTTAGCCTATAACACAACAGAAGCTACATGATGTCAGCGAATTAATTATGTTGAATGAACAATGAAGTTCAGGGACAGTGCAATGCACAGTCAAGCTCAGCCAGAGTATCCAGGCAGGACACATCCCAGGAACCACAAGATCACAATGCGGTGCGTGGACCTGCACAGGCACCTTCAGGGACTGCAGTTCAACAGAATATGGCCAGGTTTGGATGTTGTTCAACGGATGCATCTCAGATGTTTCAACAACAGCCCTCTTCAGTTCCTCACACAGTTGTTTGACTGCTGATTCAAATTCATTTTAATTTCATCTACCCCTCTTTCTACAGGTGTTTCCCTGGACTATTTAAAGATAGGCAGAAGTGTGGGCCTCCTTTGCGATTGTCCAAAAAAAGGTCAGGCACCAAAACAACGCCAATCCAATTCTTTCTTCTGGACAGCCCAACAGAGAGAACCCCCAAACCATCTGATGAGCTAATACTTTTACAAGCTGGGTTAGGAAGAAGGACTGTAAATGTCCCAGAGGATTCTGGCCATAATGAGGTATGTGGTATGACACTTAATGAAGTAAGAACTCAAATTTGCACAAAATATTAACATATACTGAAACAGCATATCCAGTGAAAACAGTAGCCCCAATCTTAGCAATCAAAACCATTTAATTCATTCTTGGAATGCTGCCAATAGTTCTAATGAACAGATTTGTCTTGAGCTCATTGATTTGATAAATATTTGCTAATCTTAGTCACATACTTTAAATTCATAGATTACACACATTCTTTCTGAGACATATCCACAGATGTCAGAAATGGAGGGTGCCTGGATGCTGCACAAAGCCATGGGTAAAAAAACGAGATTGAAGTTGACTTTTTTTCTCCAAGCAAAGGAAATTTATTGAATCTTTTTGTTTGTTATAAAGTTGTCATGTTTGCAAAGTATGATCCTTCCAACAAGGGACAGAAAATAAATATTTGAACTTAAACAGGAGGATCAGGTCATCGGAAACTCCTGAAGAGGAAGGATACACAGGGGCCAGCCTTGTGAAGAGCTGGGGAGGCAAGGGCTGTCTCTACATTATGCCCATCCAGAACACACTGGACATTTCTCCCCTACCCTTCACAGCTCTGGAGTTCCAGGCCATGCCGAAAGCCCGGTGTGTGTCATGCCAGGAGTATGTGCCCCTGCAGCTCCTCAGTCTTCGTGTCAAGACATGTATCCAGTCTAAAGTCAAGGTTGAGGTATGGCTTGCTGACTTGAAACTATAACATTGATGTTCTTTCTCCTTATTTGATGTACAGGTTGGTGTTTTCATTTCTTAAATTTCACAGCAACTATTGGATGGTGGGACCCTGTTAGCAGTGTCCCTGTCAGCTTAACCCACAATTGCTTCTGGCACTGTTTTTTAGCGATTGTTTTTTGTAAGTCATCAGTCTTGATATTTAATTTTATAGACACACTGTGATGATGACATTATCAAGTTGGACGATGAAGTGATAAGCTATCAATACAAATGAAGAGATCATACATAGTATTTCATATTATTGAGCCATACATTTATGATTTTATTTGCAATATATATGATGTGAATGACCCAGTAATGTTTTACAGGCATCTGGTGTGCAGCCATCACATTTGGAGAGCAAACTGCAGTGCTCCATCAGATTTCTTGTGTTTCTTCTTAAGATTTAGGTTTTAAGAATTAACCAGTGAAATGTTTTACATGATCTGTTCTCATCAAAGAGCATGTTTACATCTGACCTCTGAAACGGTACATCTGCATTTTTAATGGATAATTTAACACGGTTATTTCTTATTTTCATAGGTCCATTGTGCAGTCAACTAATTACAAAAGACGACATCTATGTGCATGCAAGTGTCTGCGGGGAGAGGTAAAAGCTTTTCTAAGTTTCTTATCTTATCTTACATGCATTTTGTATCCACTTGCTTAAAATGCTTAATCCCACTGTAGAGTCCCCTCATCATCCCCCCTTTTTTTAAAGAATTTGGACAGATGATGGATTAAGGTTACCTGTTTATGGAATGTTTTGTTATTATTGATCTTTACAGCAGTACAAAGGAGGGAGATGAAGATATTAGTGAGGACACCGATGAGCACTTCGGCAGGTATGCTGTAGAATAGTTTTTATGGTATTGGATAATGATGCTTGCCTTGGCCTGTAGCGCTGAATTCTCAACAATATTGTTTTAATATTGTTGTGTAGCGCATCAGACATCTTGATGTCACTTGAAAAGAAGGTTGACACATCTCTGTCATTCAACATCAATGTGACAAGAGAGGACCTGTTTCAAAGGGCACTGAAAGTGCCAGTGGAAAGTGGGCCAGTCAAAAACAGGCCTCCCCAAAGAACCTCCTCAGGGTCTCCTTCATTGGAGAAAATGGAATAGACCAAGGCGCTCTTTGTAAAGAGTTCCTTACCGGTATGTGTGCCCCACCAAGGCCAACACACATGATGAAAAGCACATTTAAGAGATTATCAATGTGAATAATATCTCAAACATTTGACAAAAGCTTGAAGGAGATGGGGAAAGGGGCAAAAACCCTAAATACAGTATCTGTGACTACCAGGACAACAATTTCAAGTATGTGCCACAGTCTTTCATATAAAATATGACTTTGTATTGTTTAATGTAGCAGACCTAACATTTTTTAGTTATGCATTTTAATACATTTATGAGAATTGATACCCAATTATGAATTATTATTCATAAAATCAGAATTTCCTCGTAAAGGGCACCACCGGAGTTGTTATAATCCTAGAGTCTCCGGACCTCTAGGTAGTTTTGAATAATTATACAATTATTACTAGTGATCAGTTAGTTAATAATTGCTCAATTATCTTAAATCAGTCAGTCAGATCTGATTGAAAACGATTGAAAAAATGGCAATTCGGCTGTTTTCAGGTTTCCTTCGTTGTAGCTGGCGAGACAACGTGGCTTGGTCTGACCTCGGTGAAGTTGGCTTCGACGAAAAAGGCTTAAAATGGAACTTGGTCATTCCTGAATTAGTCCAGTGTGACTTAACGGACTGAATAATTATAACATACAAAAGAAATAAAGAAATTAAAAAAACAAACTGAGTGCAGATCGATGTCGCGGCACTTCAGGTGTGTAGCTTCAGGCTAACAAAAGGCCTGTTTCGCTGGCCGAGTCTGGGCGTTGCCTGGCGAGGCACGCCACACGCGTGCCAAAGCGTCCAGAGGGCCGAGCAGAGTGGAAGAGAGCGCGCGAGGTCGAATATGGGGCGTGGTTCCCCAGGGGGCGTCTCAGGTTTCCCGAGGGACTGCCTTTCTAAACTTAATGTCTAAAGAAAAGAAATCTATTTGCACGTCTTATAATCAAATGTTTTCCACAATCGAACCTCAATGGTTGAACGGTTGTACTGTTGTAGGCATTTGGTAACAGGAAACAATTGTCACATTATTGGTCAGGATATTTATACATTTAACGGCATTTCCGATGAGGGCATGTAATACTTATTTCGTCCACTTGGGGGAGCTCAGGTTACATGAGGAAAGCTTGGATTAAATCAAAGATCGTCTCTCCTTAGGAACCGGGGAATTTGTTGATTCATCCTTAAATTCAAGCTGGCGATTAAGAGTATAGTAAAACATTTCTTTGTCATCATTTCTAAAGGGATTTTGTAAGAAAGTATTATGAACAAGCATTGATTACATTAGATGAAAGAGTGTCTTGCTGAAAATAAAAACACTGCACAAGTAACTTCTTTTCAGCACTAATATCAACAACAGATAGCAACAACAGTTAACATAACTACTCAAATAGAGGCAAACATATCAGGTAACTAAAGATTTAATTAACTCAATTAAATGCTTTGAGTATTTGGAGACTGCAGTCCTTTGTCATCCAAAGTTCAGTGTCTGGAACATGTCACACTTAGGTGAGACAAGGAGTATCCCTTTGATGTGGTAATAAAACAAAGAATAAGGTCAGTTGCCACGGAAACATGTGTGGGGGGGCCAGTTTTGATAGGCTGTTCAGGGAGATGCCAATGGCTGGTTTTTGTCCCTTTGTCAGTTTAACAGTCAGGCCCCGCGTTATCAGCTTCGGAATCAAAAAGGTGCCAGTTTTATGGTCGGGATAGCACTTAGAGAAAGCAACTTTGACCCCTCCCCATCTTCTCTGGGGAGGAGAAAGGAATTTAGGGTAGCTCCACATTTATTCAATGTAAAATGCACAAATCCACACCGTTGTTCACTACATTAATTAGTTAGTAAAAGTCCACTGCCATTTTGTTCAAAATAGCTTTTGTCTTTGTCAGAAAAGGACTTTCTGACAAAAAATGGCAAAAATCTCCCCAAAGAAAGAGATTTTTGCCATGAGTTTGGTGCAGGGGGGTCCTGCACCAAACTTCCTTACAAGATGGTGCTACCATTTCTTGTGCCATGGGGAGATGGACAAGGATGTTGGTGTACTCGAAGTCACTAATCAGGATATAAAAAATCTGATGAAAGAGGTATTTAAACAGTTTAATGCATTCATTTTTCCAAGTCAGGCATATAAAGTTATCAGAAAATGTTTGTCTCTTCTGCAAATATCAAGGTTGTGTCTCTTTCAGGTGGAAAATGCAGATGGTGGAGAAAGGCTGATAGACTTAGATGCGATTGTGGCATGTGGCTACACTGGGCCAGTAAATGTTGACCAAAAAAAGGCCATCATAGAGTCAGTTAACATAGCATTGAAATATTTGCCACAAAATGCTATAGTGTTAACAATTTAACTCTGAATCAATACAGTATTATTTTCTTACTGTTTATTAGTGCCATCGCTGTGCATGCACTGGTGAGGCTGATCCTGATCCAGCTGCGTGAGGGATTGAGGCTCTACGGATTAGATGAGGTGTTAGCACACCACACCCAGAAGTGCCAGCAACTCTTTGTCCCTGGCCACTTACAGGAAGTCAGTAACGTTGTGAATGAACAATTATTTTATTAGAACAGCCACTCTTAGAGACACTGCTCTTATAGCATATTCTGCATTTTTACTTTAAGCTGCCTTCAAACATGTTTAAAGAGCAAAACGCTACAGGCCAAAACATAAAATGAATCTTTAATTTTAATCTGCAATGTGCAATCCTTACTGTTTTACCGTGTTTAAGCATTTGATTTGCTTCCTTATTTTAGGTGAATGCAGACTTCCTTCTGCTTGCGCTATCTCCTGATTTCAGTGAGGAAGGGTCTGTGAGACGGCAGCGAGAGATGCGGATCATCAACTTTCTGCAGGATTTCTTGCAAAGGTTGGAAGACAGAGGTAACACACTGCTTAGCACCTTTTTCTATAATCCTTGTCCATCACTTTTACCTTACTATCAAACTTGTTTTCCACCGGTTTCATTTTATTCTCTTTATTGGCGTTACTCCCTCTTTAGGTTTATATTCGTATGTGTAGTCTGTCAAACCCCCGACATGTATATGACAAATGCATTTGTCCTAAGAAACAGAAATGTTGGCAATTACTTCTTTGTATTTGTCTCTGAGAAGAAGCAGACAGCCAAGAAGAGACAGCCCTGAAGGTCAAAGTCACGTGGCAGCTGTGCAGGGAACAAATGGTGGGGAGAAGCGCCTGTCAGTCAAGAGCTTCCTTCAGTGGGTCCAGGTCAGGCACACGTTCCACTGATTGAATCCAAGAGAGAGGCATTCAGGATAACTATTAATTTTGACCATGACTGCGACTCCCGCTATGGGGCACATAGCCTTTGTTACCCCATTGTCAATGCTTGTGCAGTTGCCATTACATTTCCTACACGCCACTTAGCCACCTCCCAAGAGTTTGAAAACAACCTGAGGCAATCTGTGGTGGTTACGAGTTCAGCATACATTAGCATTTTAATGGCCTTGTTACCTGACCCTCTTTGTGCATAGTTTTTTTTTTTCTACTGTGTACAACAAAGTTGTTCCATTGTTAATGTCACACTCTGCCTGTCTGCCATGCGGTGTTTTGCACTGTTTAGTTAGCATTATTTTGGTCTGTTGGGTTTTGGGGGTCTGTCTTGTCTTTCGTCTAGTGTTCAGTAACCCTTGTCATGTCTGTTACCCCAGTGATCCCTCTGCATGTCTGTCTCTGTTTTCCTCTGCTCTCTCTCTCTCTCTCTGCCTCGTTAGCCTCATGTCTGTCACCTGTGTTGCTCCCGCCCTGCTCGTTAGTCCCTGTGTATATATACCTGCTGTTTGTCTTTGTCGGGTCATTGTTTATTGTCACCCAGTGTTGCAGTGTGTTCTCGTGTCTCCCTGTTACCCTGCTCAGTTTTGGATTGTGGTTTTCACCCTTTTGGATTTCTGTTGGACAGCCTTTGTTTTTGGACTCTGTCATCAGCCACTCTGTTTGTAAGTGTGCTCGCCTTTTGTTACGTTCATTAAAACCCCTTGAACTGTACCTCCTTTGCCTTGCGTCCTACATTTGGGTCCTCCAACCTGCTCAACCCTGCCTTCACCACCAAACCGTGACAGTTAAAAAGAATAAATCTAAAGATTTAACTGTGGTTGTTGTATATTTTATTTACATCACTTTGTGATCACCAAAACAAACATTAAACACCTGACGAACACTCAAATTCAGGGACTGTTATCACACCATCCACATCTTCTCCATAGTCAACATCCCAGTCAATGTCCGGCTCTTCAATATCCTGACAGTCGAACAAGACAGAAAAATGCTGCTATCACTAGTCATCCCATGTTTACAGCATCTAATGTAATCTGTTCATCCCAATTGTTTGGCTTTTCAACATTAGCTGAAGATATAAACATTTAGGGTTTGTACAGCACAAGTCTACCTAATGAAGAGGTTACTCAGTGCATATGAACTGTATTACCAACATTTGCATCAATTGTGATTGTTTCACCAGTTGAAGATGTGTGTTACACTGCTTAGAGCCTGGTGGGGCATTTCAAAGTTACATTAACAGCTCATTTTGGATAAAAAATTTACTGTAGCAACTTAGAGTTGTTTTAAAAGAAAAAAACTCAAGATTCTCTGACTGGTCTCTGACTGAATTGGTCGAAGCGTCATTCCTGAGTGCCAAATCTGCTCAGGAGTTTTATTCCCTTCTGTTCTCAGTGGGTGGTTGTTCCAACCTGCCACAAAAGTATGTTACTTTTCACAGGTGAGCTCTGAAAATGCAACATTAAGCATTGAATAGACTTTTGTAAATACATCTCATTGATGTTTTTTTCCAGTATTAAACCATTTCTAAAATTCTTTACAATGATATACGACCAGCCATTAATGTTTATTAAAGTGCCCCAGACATATGTTAACCAATCCAATTGTGTTGAAATTGACCAATCATAAGGACGCCTGCGCCTTCTATGTTTTCCACCTCAGGTCATGATTATTATTATACCAGGCAAGGTTTTAAGAACAGTTACTTATTTACAATAACGGCCTGGCAGGGGATAAAGACCTCCTGTATGGAATGGGTACTAGGATTAAATAATAACAATCTACAGAAAGTAGACGATAAATGGCACAATATGATGAGACAAACTCATACCTCTGGAGGACACATCAAGAAAGTGAGCCATCTCTAGGCTGTGGAGTTTGTTGTAATATTTTGATATCACACATGTTCTGACATCCCGCCACAAACATTCAATCCGACGGATTTAGAAATTATTATTTTAACCATCAAGGACTTGATAACATGAGAAAATGTTAGTATGTTATGATTTTACACACAATAGACCTCTTTATTAGCTTGGTAAAAGCATCCAAAATACAAAAAGAAAAACCTTTGATTACGGAAGCTTTTTCCTGACATGAAGCTTCCTCGATCAGTTCCACACACACAGATGACCAGTGTGTCAGTGATTCACAATACACGGTACTAAAGTGCTACATTGTGTCAAAGTGTGTCTGTGTTTATATATCTATACATATGTCACAATAAACGTGTTCAGCGTATATTCGCTGACCACTAGAGATCAGTACAAGCAGGTAATATAATGGAGGGGTAAGGCTATGACTGGGAGAGCAGAAGGAAGTAGAGTGTTGTAAGGAAACATTTAAAATTATAATCCCTGAGAACCCTGAGTTTACAGTAAATTATTTCTTAAAATATAACATCCATCATGTTTGTTTCTGTACCTTGAAGCCTGTAAAAATTTACCTTGAGGGTATTCCATGCCTCTCAGTTGCTTTTTTGAAGGCAGTGAATGCGGTTGATGCACGATTGTTTTTTGCAGCATTCAAGCACACCACCTATGTTATGAGACATTTTCATAAACGTACATTTACTATTTGTCAATATCTTACATGTACAATTGGATTACACTCTGGTCCCTTCATGCCTCAGGGAATCTGATATTTTAACACACCTTAATGACCCTTACTACCATGTGGAACGCTGTATAATAACTTTTTCTCCCACATCACCAGGGTAGTATTTCAGCCATCTGAATGCAACATGTAATTATTTGGTGTACATCATAACAAATTTGCTTACACAGCAGGTCCCAGTGAAATTAAATCTTACCTCCCTGGAGTAGCCGTCCACTGGACCAAAAAGTACAATGTTGTACCTGATGGGCACAAAGTAAAGACCTACATTACCAGTTTCAACCTGGATTTTTATTGTAGAAATGTCATGGCAACATACTTATGCTTTGAGATATATCAGTGTCTGTATCATTGTATTTAACAACATAAATAATCAATAATCTGTACTGTACAGTACTGACCTGATCAGTTTGTGGTTGGTGTCGACATGCCACAGTGAAAGGGGCCCCCTGACAGAGTAAGTTCTTCGCACAATGCAGCCCAGTCCAGTCAGTCTAGAAAGAATCCCAAGCGAGTCCACTCGATGCATTGATGCAGTAACTCTCCTCCACTGGACGTGGATTCCCATGGACTTTAGCCTCCCTTTGACCATCCGATAGCCAGAGATACCAAACTCCCTCATCCATCTGTTGACTGTACTGGCTGAAACGCACCTTAACTTTGCGATGCAGTCCACAGACAGATTTATCTCCAAAAACTCAACAAGTCTCTCCTTCTCTAGATTGTACCTGGGACGCCCCATCTCTCCAGCTACAGTTTCAACAGAATTGCTGGTAACTTCAACATTTTCAATGTGGTCCATGATCAGCTGGAGGAACTCTCTTAAGGCCTGTACAATATCTGGGGGGAGATTTACATGCCTTGACAGTGCTTCCCATAGGTACAGCTCTCGCCTACATGCAAACTGTAAGAAGTCCAATTCAAGAGGCGTTCTTGAACGCGCTGACTCTAATTTAATGATCAGCCTGAAAGTAATCTCACATCTGACTACACTTCTTAATATATTGAATACATATTCATTCATTCATCAATTTTAAAAAGTGGGGGATGGGGGGTAAATGACAGACTTCTGGCCATACTTTTAAGTTTTGCTAGTTAAGGTTGATTAGCTTATGTCAGCTACTTACATGTTCCAAACAAATTTCATATTAAATTGCTACATTGTTAGACCACACAGCCCCCATCATATATCAATATCACTTACGCCTACATCTTCAGGTGTCGCCGCCTGTCCGTCCGCTGTGCAGTGTTAACTGAACAACTGAAGTCCGTCTTTGACTCCGTACTTCCTGTAATGGGAGCTGTCAATCAAGGTATAAGGATGTCCCTGTGGTTGTGATCACGATGAAAGTGACCAATCATAACAGGGTCAATACCTTCCTTGGTTCCCGCTCCCAAATTGTCAAAAGTCATGTAGACTCTAGCGAGCAGAAATCCACTGCGCGAGCGAAACAGCGCTCCGCGAGCAGGTTCCACTGTACAAGCAGAGTTAACCTATGAGAGTATGCGTGTGTGAAATAACATAATGTGCTTGTGAGCATGTCTTACAAGCTCGTAACATTTGACAAAAAAATAATGCCATACGCTATACAAATTCAATTTATTATTATTATTAAATTGTGGCTATCTCAGAACTTCCTTAATCTGAACGAAGACAAAACTGAGTGTATTATCTTATTAGAAAATTTATGTCAAACAATCCATCTTTAAGTCTGGGAGCTTTGACTTCATGCGCCAAGCAAACTGTCAAAAATCTGGATGTGACATTCGATTGTAGCAGGAAATTTGACAAACAGATAAGCAATGCTGTCAGAACGCGCTTCTTCCAACTTCGTCTCCTGGCAAAAGTAAAGCCTTTTCTTAACAGGCACGATCTAGAAAAGGCTACTCATGCCTTTATTAGTTCAAGGCTAGATTATTGCAACAGTCTTTATATTGGTCGAAGTCAAACATCTATCTCACGTCTTCAACTTGTGCAAAATGCTGCTGCTCGCTTTTTAACAAATACATCTAGAAGTGCAAACATCACTCCCGTTCTATTTACACTACGGTGCGTTTTAGAATTGATTTTAAGATTTTATTGTTTGTTTTCAAGGCCTTAAATGGCCTAGCCCCGGAGTATTTGTCCGAGCTTTTAACTTTGGGTGGGCAAAATCGGCTGTTGCGGTCTTCAGATCTACGGATAAGCCACACAGTAAATCACACCGTAAACCACACAGTATGCCACACAGGCTAATGTGGGTAACCACGGAAGGATAAGTGAGTGAATGAGCCGATGACCCAGAGCCCTCCACTGGCTCGGCTTACATAGCCCACTAATTGCCTCTGATCGGCCCCAGCTGTGAGCTCCACCCAGCGTCACACTGAGCGGGTACAGGTACACACCTGCAGGAGAGAGAGAGACAGCAACACAAATACAGCACACAGACCACCCGGGTCGTAACATATGCTTCATGTGTTTTCTTCTTGTATTTTATTGAATGCTGTGTTGTTTATTCTTGGTTGATGTAAAGCACTTTGGACACCTATTGCTTGCTGTAAAGTGCTATACAATTAAATGTTGATTGATTGATTGAGATATTTACAGTAGTGTTAATGATAACAATCGTAATGTTAATGATTATAATAACAATAATAACAATAGGACTAGTAACAATAGTCGTTGCAGCAGAGGGTGTCGAGCAGGAACACGGGGGCAGCAGGTGACCCGCAACCACAGATCCAGACTCCACAGCTCCAGAGTCAGAAACCCCTGCAGGAAGTGATAGGAGAGAGGAGAGAGACGAGAA